ATATATGAAAAAACCCGTCATTCTATCTATGCTTCAAAATTTATTCTAATGATCGATAGATGGCAGAAAATCTTCTTCAAATACGTTATTAGCATATATTATAATTTTATTTATAATTCTCCATGATGGACTACAAGCTGTACATGGTATACACTTTTAACCAAAGCCATTGGGTTTCACTAATAGGTATACTGTACTACTGGTAGAACCAAATGTAGCAAATGGATCAGAGGTAAACATTCAGATAAAAAATAGTACTGGCTTAAAAAAAAAACAACTGCTATAGTTAGCAAAAGTGACCCAGAAGCCCAACTATAAGAGTGGCTATAATATCAAGTCCATCACAGAGGGCTGCTTTACAGATCAAAACAAAAAATGCATCTAAATTACATTTATAGTTTTCACTCACATTAATATTCCTGCACCTAGACACAGCAACCAGCGGCCAGCATGCAGAAGTTTCTGAGCAAACTGAATTAATTAATCGATGAGCAAGAGAACCTGAGTAGTTAACCTCATGTCTCCCTCTCTGACATTGTCCTCCACAAAAAGCACCCCGTGAGCTGAGATGCCGATGTAGCCCTTGCTGGCTTATGAGACGTAAAGCTGACTGGCAGGCCAACAATGTGCTGTACTTCAGACTGAAGTGGTAAAAACGCAAAATGGCTCTTTCCAGGATTACATGGAAACAGAAGCAGTACTGCAGGACCATGTGAGACCAGCGAATGATGCTGCTCGGCTAAACTGCATGTTCCTCACGCTTGGAGACAAGCTCATCTTTTGGACAGTCCCATAGAGGAAAGGACAGGCCATGTGAGGGAGATGGCCAGGCTCTGCAGTTAGGCAGACCTGGGCTTGGCCACCCAGCAGTGTGGGGAAGACAGAAAAATCTGAGGTCCAGAAAGGTGACATTATCATTGCCTAATTTAGTCACCCATAGAGTCTCTTCTAAGCCACAAAACTTACCTGAAAAGCCTTGTTCATGTTTTCAGTCATCGTATATGCCTTTTGTGCTTGCTGCAGCTGTAGCCGTAGCTGAGCCACCTCCTGTACTGAGCCTATGGGGGAAAGCATCGTAGAATACACTAAGTGTAAAAGGACAAAGTACCTATGATCTATAGAAAAACTTGAATCCACTGAGGCTACAGAAGGTGGAGTCCTGCTCTGATCATCACCATCTTTTTAGGCGCATAAAGATGGACAGCTAGCAGCACCCAGAGGCCTACGTCTTGGTCGAGACACTCCTAGGATTTGGCATGACTTCCCCCTTACATCCATGGGGCAGACATGGGCTACTGTGACCTTGCTATGAACCAATCAGCCACATCTACAGACCTCAACACTCCAGAAGTCCCTCAGTAGAAGCATAATGTTCCAACTCATAGAAAGACAAAGAAAAACATGCTGAACCCATTTCTACCCTTCCAATAAGATAACTACATCTTGCTGCCTTTAGCTTCGTTCTAAATGCTTTTATTTCCACCACCCCAACCTCTATATGTGAAAGGAGCATATTAGGGTTGTGTTTCTAAAACTTTAGTGACCTAATATTTTAAAAGTACTAGGAGAGGTTCCCATTTAAAAGGGACTTTATTAGGTTTCTTCAAAAGAAAATGACCATCCGGGAAATGGTTAAGCAAAATAATGATGGTGTATTATGCAACTGAAGTCATATTTTCAAACTATTTAACAGCAAGGAAAAATGTTCACCAAATAACACCATGTGGGAAAAATGGATTAAAAACCAAACAGGGATTAAATGGGAACTTAACCTGCTGTGTAAACTTGCACCAAAAACTTTTTTTTTTTTTTTTAAATTTATACACAGCTTGGGTGTCGAAGGTTATAGATTTCTAATCTTCTACTGGATTTCCTTGGCTAATGGAATGTAAGAAAGTTGTGAAAGGAAGCTTTTTCCCCATTAATAAAAAAAAAAAGAAAACCCGCTGCTGTCGTGTTGACTCCAACTCACAGCGACCCTATAGGACAGAGAAGAACTGCCCCATAGGGTTTCCAAGGAGCGGTCAGTGGATCCAAACAGCCGACCTCTTGGTTAGCAGCCAGCTCTTAACCACTGTGCCACTAGGGCTCCTTCTTCCACATTACATTTATTATTTGTAATAACTTCACATGTTTAGCTTTAAAGTCTCTTTGTCGTTCGTATTATGACACCATTCCTCTTAAAAGAAAAACTTAATAGTAATAAAATTGAACTTAACTACTAAGTAGCAAAACAAACAAACTTAACAGTGAGCAGGGAGCTAAAGAGAGTATAATGCAATTTTGCCACCTCCCAAGCCACAAAACATATTTAGGCAGTCCTTGACTTTAATACTTCCAACTTTTGAATAAGCCACTCTTTCATGCATTGTACCATCATTCTGCCTTTCACATGCCAAAGTCTGACTTTAATATACCAGTTAACGAAAACCCACTGAGCTATTTTCACAGGGGCTGTTAGTCACCAGCAAACAGGGTAGTTTTGTCTGTACAGTACTGTTTGAGCAAACACCTGACTATTCTATTGCCTTTTATAAAAATTAATAAGAAATAAAAGTGCTGTTGAATCTAATAATAGGAAGCACAAGTCACAAACTTAATACCACGGAGAACTTACTAGAAATCTTAAGCATGCCAAAACTAACTCTCCAGCCACAACTGAATACAGTGGACTTAAACCAGTTAAGTGGCTCCACCATTGTGAGGGAAGAAAAAAAGTAAACAAGTTATATAAAAGCGTAGAAATGCATCACCAAAGATTAGGTCTAAAAAAGTAAAATACAATGGAATTTTATAATCATTTTCAGCTTTTAAGGATATAACTTACCTTATAACATATACCTTATTGTCTGATTTTTGCACATTCAGCTTTAGTATGTTTTCAGAAATGCGCTGTGTACAAAAGCAGGGAATTGTCTATGTATGTGCATTCATTTCATTTGAAAGAAATACACCCAAATGCTAATCAAAGTTATCTCTGGGTAGTAGGATTATTAGTTATTTTTACTTGTCTATGTTTTCCAAATTATGTAATGAAAATACAATACCATTATAAGTATTAATGTTCTAAAAAATAAAAAAAACTAGTCACCAATTAATTGTCTTTCCTGTCCCTTGGAGATATCTCATAAGTTAGAGATCCTATGTTCTCTGCATATTACGTTATTGGGGAGACAATAACCCAACCAGACACCTACCTGACTGCAACAAGCTGGCACACTGCTTTTGACTCTCCTCTAAACTTCTGGTCAACCTGCCAATGATCTCAGTCTTTTCTAATTTGGTTGCTTCTTGAATCCTTTCCAGTTGTTTTATGTGATCTTTCAAACGAGAGCAAGTGTCTTCCTAAACAGAAAAGGTGTACAAAAAGTCATTTTCATTTTCAACTATTAAATATTCAATTAAATTTATGATACATAGTTAGATGTTAAGTTAATATAAAATAGTCAAATGGCAGCATCACCTCTTATACAGGGTTAAGTGCACAGGATTGGGAGTCAGGAAAACAAACTTGTGTGGCCTCGGGTGAGTCATTAATTTCTCAGTTTATTTCTTCTTTTGTAATTATGCTAAGAAAGGTTGAATTAGATGATTTCTAAAGTACCTTTCTGCTCTACATTCACAAGATGCTGTTACTCTAAAATCAGATTGTATTCAAGCCAAAAGAAATTTATTACATCTCCATTTACATTATATACTGTCAGTATAAGCGTATGTTCAGCATTCAATCTGTATGCTGAGCAAATAATCAGAGAAGCTGGATTATACGAAGAATGTGGCATCAGGATTGGAGAAAGGCTCATTAACAACCTGTATTATGCAGATAACACAACCTTGCTTGCTAAAAATGAAGAGGACTTGAAGCACTTACTGAGGAAGATCAAAGACCACAGCCTTCAGTATGGATTACAGCTCAACATAAAACAAAAATCCTCACAGCTGGAACAATAAGCACACCATGATAAACAGAAAATACTGAAGTTGTCAAGGATTTCATTTTACTTGGATCCACAATTAACACCCACGAAAGCGGCAGTCAAAAAATGAAAAGACACTTTGGGCAAATCTGCTACAAAAGATCTCTTTAAAGCGTTAAAAAGCAAAGATGTCACTTTAAGGACTAAGGTGTGCCTGATCCAGCCATCGTATTTTCAACTGCCTAATATGCATGTGAAAGCTGGACAATGAATAAAGAACACCAAAGAAGAATTGATGTCTTTGAATTATGGTGTTGGCGAAGAATACTGAATATACCATGGACTGCCAGAAGAATGAACAAATCTGTCTTGGAAGAAGTACAGCCAGAAAGCTCATTAGAAGCAAGGATGGTGAGACTTCATCTCACTTACTTTGGAATGTTATCAGGAGGGACCAGTCCCTGGAGAAGGACATCATGCTTGGTAGAGGGTCAGCAAAAAAGAGGAAGACCCTCAACGAAATGGAGTGACACAGTGGCTGCAACAATGGGCTCAAGCATAGCAACAACTGTGACGATGGCGCAGAACACGGCAAGTGTTTCGTTCTGTTGTGCACAGGGTTGCTGTGAGTCAGAACCAACTCCATGGCACCTAACAACAACAACAGAAGTGTATGTACACATACTTAGGCAGACCACTTTGAATCATGGAATTTGTACCCTAAAACAAGGACATGGATAAATACATGAAACTCACTCTATTCCACCAGCCAGAAGTAATCTTTCTTCTGAACTTTTTTAAAAATCTTTTATCTATTTCTCCTTTATGTTTCCCTTCTTACTTTCCCAGATGTTACTTCTCTTAGTAGTCTCCTTGAAGGTGCCTGTCCAGTGCCTTAAACAGAGCAAGTGTTTCAATAAACACTTGAAAAATGAATTGCAAAAACAGGCAGGATAGTGTGTGTGTATGTGTGTGTGACTGTATGCAGATATACAGAAAATATAGTGTTTGGGAATAATGAGCCATGGGAGTCCCAAGCCCAGGTAGAAGGGGGCTCGTAAAAGTCATCACCTCTCCTTCAAAAAAGGCCCGCAGGCTGAATCCCAGGCAAATGGTGTAGCGTGGGAGAGGCAGGGGAGAGAATTAAGAAAACTGACTACAGTTACCTGAAAAAGTCTGAAGAAAATAAGTGGTAAGGGGAATATTAAGCAAGGGCTTGAAGCAAAGAGAAGGATTTGGGGCCTGATCCACAGAATAACCTAAAGCCCTATAATGCCTTAAGGATACTAACACAGAAGTTCCTTTAAGGGCAGAGGTAAGAGACTCTGAAGCCTCCCATTTGAGGTTAAAAATTCATGTGAATTTTATATTCTCTTCCATAATGTAAGAAGCTCTGGTGGCACAGTGGCTTGGCTGCTAACTGAAAGGTTGGCGGTCGGAACCCACCAGTGGCTCCATGGGAGAATGATGTGGCAGTCTGTTTCTGTAAAGATTACAGCCTTGGAAACCCTATGGGGCAGTTCTACTCTGTCCTAAAAGGTTGCTATGAGTCGGAATTGACTCAATGGCAATGGGTTTGGTTTTATTTTTTTGGGTATTTCATAATGTAACTGTGTTTGCTTTAAAAATTTTTTTCTCCCAGATTTTTTAGCAAAATGAAACTCCTGGAAACCGGTCCATGTTTATTCATTCCTGCAAACCTCCTGGAAGACTGCTGCGGAGTCCCAGGCCAGCTTGAGAAGCATGGTTCTAAGGTGCCAAAGTAGCACAGCAAACACAATGAGTGAGCTAACACTAAGGGCAGTATGAACGTGTGTGCAAGAAGGGGTGGGGGACAGCCAACATTTATGCGCTAGGGAGGGCACAGCACTTTCTACAAGAGGCTGGGGACTGGCAAAAGGTGAAAGAAAACAAGGCAGACGTGAAGAACATTGTGAAGAAGGAAAAGGCAGGACTGGTGATAATTTGACTATATGCAACAATCAACCATGGTGTTTTCTGTTGACAATTTCAGAGCCTCATAAAACTGTGAACTTTTAATACCAAAATAAATAAATAAGCTAAGGAGTTCCACCCTTTCCATGATTAGTTTGAGTAAGAACAGAGCTCAAGAAGGGCAGACATCTTTTAAGACTGAATGAGACAAGTGTGATGATACAGAAGTAATAGCTAAATCCACGGGCACCAAGGGAGCTGAATAGGGTTTTGGTACACAGAAAAGTGAGGATTAGACCGTCTGGATGTCTGGAGGAGTCTCTCAGCCCACAGACAGTGCTTAAAAGTGGAGCTTTAAATGTAACCCTAAAGGAAGGGTGAAAAACAGACCAGGTATAGGTCTTAATATACAAGCCAAGGTCCATAAAGGGTGACTGCTTTCACCAGAAGCTGAAGATTTCAAAAAGACCAGAATGAGGAAAGGTTTTATACCACCGAGGAGATGATCCAAGAGCTGGGTAAGTGCCACTTCTCTGAATGGAGGAGGCAGAAGGCACCTTGGAGGAGAGGCTGTAGCAGAAGTTTGCTATCAGAGAGTTCTGTCGTCAGGGGAACACCATGAGCTCCAAGAAGTCTATCTCTTCCCATGTTCTCTGTCACACTAAAAAACCCCAGAGGAACTCAGCCAAAATGGAAAGAACTGATAGAGTATACTGTGAATGTGCATACTCTTTTCTACCCAGAAAAGCTGATGGCTTCAAGAACACACTAAATTAACAGTATAATTTTACAAGTCATATATTTCACAAAATACACTAGTTAGAAAGACATTTAAAAAAAAAATCCAGCTGTATCATGGAATAGCACTCCTCCCATTACATAGTTGCTTTATTGAATTTTGTCTTTCAAAATATAATTAAACATAAATAAAGCTTGTTTACATCCTGGTGCTTAGCTTGGTATGTTGAACAGATGAAATAATGATTAGTCTAGAATGTAGCTGTAATCCATTCCTACCAAGAACAACTTCATAAAGCAATGATTTTCAACTTCTGTGAAGGGAGACATGAACCTCCTGGGATATCTGAATATGCTCATCGGTCTTGTCCAGAAAACTGCATATACTCACATGCAAAAGAAAATTATACTCGCAATTTGAGATTATTCATGGGCTCCCTGGAGATACCAGGTTAAGAATCTCTGTAACTAGCAAATTTTTCTATGTGTCAACGTCGACTCCATTCACACTGTGTACATACAATACATATACATGTACACAATTGTGCGTGACGACATGAGAGCCACCCAAAACCTAATGCTGGCAACTTTATTCAGGCTCATCTGGGTAAATTACCCGGTCATTTGTACCCCACTACTATTTTCCAAGAGTTCTTTTATTTTTCTTTGTAATCTGTTGAATGGAGCGTACTGAGAAAAGGTTTATCTGAAAGGGAAACATTTTGCACCTCTTCAATAACTTCTACAAAGAAAAAGAGGGCAAGAGGCGAAATGCAGTGTGTAGGCATCGTTACTGGTTAGGTAAGAAAATCTAGATCAATCGCTCTGTGTAGTGCACACCTATGCACTTTTCTAATTGTAGGCAGCTATCTCCCTAGCTTCTGGGTAATTTTACAGCACCTTCCGCATCAAGAATCTCAATTTGGATTCTGAGATAGTACAGATTAAAGCTAGTTACCTTGACTTTAATAAAAATTACTGCTGAGCCAATTGATAGCAAATTGACAGCACAAAAGAGATACCATGAGAAACATTCCTAGAAAGAACAAGCTGTGAGAACTCTGGAATCACCAATTTGCAAAGTAACTATGCAATTGTAAGCATAGGCTACCATCAGTCCTACATTCCCTAAGCAAACAAACAAACAAAAAAATTCCATCACAGAACAGTGGGAAAAGACCTTAATCAACAGCTTTAACTTAGTCTGAAGCTCAGTCAGTACAGAGTCAAGACTTCGTTCTGTCTTCTAGTCCAGGGTTCTTTCTTCTACTGAGGGAAAGTAAGAATGGAGGATGGAGTGGGCACAGGAGTGGAGTTCCTTCTAGCCCACCCCTATGTAACTGTGTCTAAGTCAGCACTAAATGGAGAGATCTTCCAATTAACCCAGTAGGGAAAGCCACCAGACCCCCCTCTTTTCTAGTCATCCAAGGAGGTCCACTCTCCAACTAACTTTAATGCCAACACCCAAACACAGCCAAAATTAATAAAACTATATCTTAAATTATATTTACGTTTAAATATTCTATAAAGGAAACTTCAATAATTTGGCATGGTTTCATTTTTCCTCACCCTTATATATCTTCCACACTGATCCAAATTTTAAATATTTTCCATATAAATGGAATAAAAACCTAATTAGGAAAATACACCTAATCAAAAAAATCACATAAATTCATATGAAAGTAAAATGGTACACAAATAATTTGGGGTTCATCCATAATTCAAGATTATATTTGCCACGATCCCTTCAATTAATTAAAATAATCAAGAGTAGGTAACATAAACTCTTCTAATTTTTTAATAATATATTTTACTTTTATTATTAGGGTGAACATATAAAATTGCCAATAATGCAATCTTACATGGTTCTACCTAAAAGCATGAAAAAATTTAGAGTCAGCTGTATAAATAAGAAATAACAACCTAAATCAGGATAAATTTTAAGTGTGCTGGGATTTTCCATACCCTTACATCTTATTTTTCTTCTCCTCTTTGCCTGGGTTAAATTAATTCTGAAATTACATTAAGAAAAATGCACTCTAAATGAAGCCTAGGGATTAAGAGCATAAGCAAACCCACCAGCTGACTCACCCTTAGCTTAAAAGATTTTATCCCCTTTTGGGCAAAAATAAAAAATTGACGTGAAATATGCTCAAGCTTCAAGTCTACATGATTTTAGACCAGACTTTCTTCCCTATCTTATTAACTATCTCAAAATGACCTCTTCTCCCAAAAACTATTTCTAGACAGTCTTTATTGGCAGGTTAATGACCAAATTCTGGGAGACCCAAGAAGCGCCTTCTACTGGTTAAGGTCTCAGGACAACCTCTTAGGTTCAGGCTAGCTACCAGCACACTCATTCATTTCCATCTGGATTTATTCCAGGGAAATGACCATTCATATACTATGAACAATATGTATGAATACTCTACAAATAAAAAACTAGTGACTTGAGCATTGAGAAAGTACAAACCAATCCCACAAGAGGAAAGAGTTTGGAAATTATGCCTTCAGGATGAATACATAGACAAATCTTTGACTTTTAAGTTTCATGCACAACCTGACAGAGCAGGAGAAAAGTAGGGTGCAGAACTCAAATCTTAGTAAAAATACCAGATTTAATGGTTTGATTGAGACTGGAGGGACCCCGGAAGACATGGCCCCCAGACTCTCTGTTAGCACAAAACTAAAACCATTCCCGAGGCCAACTCTTCCGACAAAGATTAGATGGGACTATGGGGCATAAGATGATACTCGTGAAGAGTGTGCTTCTTACTGGTGATAGGAAACCCAAGGTTGAGTAAGGATATTGCTGATGTGTTGTCAGATTGTTATAGGGCAACATGTGTAGTAACTGTTAAATGAGAAACTATTTTGTTCTGTAAGCCTTCATCTTAAGTGAGAATAGCAGCACAACTGGAAGAGCGTAG